TGTGTGTGTGTGTGTGTGTGTGTGTGTGTGTGTGTGTGTGTGTGTGTGTGTGTGTGTGTGTGTGTGGCTCGGCCCCGCCGGCCCCCGCCCGCCCCGCCTGCAGCGTGTGGCTCACTGCAAATGTTTGCCCGCCCTGCCCCGCCCGCCCCCACCAAAGCCGTGAACTTCATCCCCGCGTCACGCCCGACGCCCCGCGCACACCGCGGCCCCCCGCGTGGCTTGGTCACTTCACGGCGGCCGGACAGGCAGACCGACGGACGGACGCCTTTCCGCCCAAATGGATTGCCCTCCCCCGCGGCACTGCGCGCGTTCCGTCAGCCCCGCGTGAGATCCGTCAGGAGGAAGGGGGGGAGAGAGAGGGGAGGGGCCTCTTAACACGATGAGAAGCTCATCAATATATCAGGCCAGGCCAGCCGGGGCGGGGCGGCCGCTGGGCAGCGCGGGCCGCGGGCGGGTCCGCCGGGCCTCGGCGGTGGCGCCGTGCAGCGAGCACGCGTCTTGCCTCCCCGATCAGGTTCGGGAGGGTTGAGTGGGAGCGGGCACGGCGCCGCCGCTGCAGCGTCTTCAAAATGCGCGCTCCTTCTGCTCCCGTCTTGTGTTTTATTTATCGACCAGTCCCCGCAAATGCGAAAACGGTGATAATCCGATAGAACACTGTAGAGACTGCCCTACTGGAACTGCTGCATGCCGCGAAATGCTCGGAGAACGCCAGCGCCAGGTATCTCGAGGAATTCCTTCGATACCGGTGCTGCTTCCTCTCCCCTTTCCGCCTTAAACAGCCCCCTCCCCTTACCCCCTGCCCTCCCCCACGCAGGCAGCCCGACGCTTGCATGCGTGGATTATGCAAATTCTGCTGCAGCTGCAATCCCTCGTGGGGGCCCTTTGGTCCGCAGGGATCCGTGTGTCGGGGATGCTGGCTGCCCGGAGCGCTGAGATGATAACTGCTGCCCCGCCACGCTCCGCCACGCCCCACCGCGCTCCGGCACGCCGCCCTTCACTCCTCTCCCTATTTTGGTCCGGCCGGGCCGGGCCGTATCTCCCGGCTGCGAGCGGGATCAGGGGATGCTGCGCTGGACCAACCCATTGCAGACTCAGCTCCGCGTGGAGGAAAAGCGGGAGCAGGGGAAGAAGGGGAGAGAGAGGGGGGGGGGGAGTGAATAGACCAGGTTAATAGGATGGAAACATGAGGTGCTGGCAGAGACAATAAAGAGAGCAAGGAAGCGTGTACTACTGTACGACGACGACGCAGAGCATAGCAGGAACCGGCGTTCAAAAGGAAGCGAAGAGAAGGAACGAGAAAGAGGCAAAAGAAAAAGTGTCGAGATTAAATTTTGGCTAAGCGGGAGGGGAGGAGGATGTGTGGAATTCACACGGACTCTGGCGGGTGTCGCGGATAGTCGAGGTCTGCTCACAACGCGACCAAAGTCCGCGGCCTGGTGGGTGCAAACAGAGTCTCATTCGGATCCATTCATTGTATAGGGTCGAGTGCGTACCGGCCGTGATTAAGAAAGCAGTGAAAAGTCTTCTTTAAAAATTATTGTTAAAAGATAAGCTGGCTTGTTTCTGCTCTCGTTTCACACGAGGCCGGACTGCTCCTCTGCACTGCTCGCACTCGCACCAAGCGACGACGACTGTGCGCGTAGAACAATTGTGTAATGAGGATCAGTTATTCGCTTTACGTTTTGTCTGTATAGGAAAGCAGGGTACGTTTCTCAGGGAAGCTTGTCAAGTGTTTGTGAGAAGAATTAAACGGCACTGTTGAAACAATGCTTAGTTGATAGAGAAGGGCCAGAAAAAGTAACCCGGATATGTTCTTAGCTCGTGTAACAAGCAACGCGGAAGGGAGCAAAATTAAACCCTTTTCTCCCCCCCCCCCTTACTGTGTACTCCGCAGTTTTCTCTTTTAATTCTTCCGTCGTCATCTTACCAACGGGGTGAGAGTAAAGGCGAGCGCTCTTTTCTCTACCTGGGAGAAAAGCTGAGAAGAGATTATCTATGGAATTCATTTAGAGAGGGCTGGGTCAGGGTGGGGAAGGGGGTAGGGGGGAACCAGGGGATGGGTGGAGTAGGGGGGTGAAGAAGCAGAAATCCGGACGGAGTACAACACAATCTGTATGGGGATTTGCGGCAGCGCGGCCGAGGCAGATCTCCAGATAGTGTCATATTGATCGCGAACGCTGATTTATGTGAGAGGCGTCTCCAAGGACGATGCCACACCTATATATAGACCGGCACGCATGACTGGCGCGAGCAGTGCGGAGCGGTGCGCAGCGGGCACCCTACCTGGCCAGGGGCCGGCGGCGCACGGGAAATATTGAGAGAACGAGAGGGGGAGGATCCAGCGAGAGAGAGCGAGAGAGAGGGAGGTAGAGCGACCTTTGAAATAAGGGGAAAGCTCGTAAATCAGAGCACACTGGGCTCCAGCGATAGCAGGATAGTAGGGCCACGCCGCGCCGCGCCACGCCGTGTGCAGATAGTTGTGTGCTCCGGCGTGGCGTGGCGTGGCGAAGCACCCATTGCTTGCCAATATTTTTCCAGCCTCTCCCCGCGACGACTGTTGCTCGCCGCCGCGCCACGTCTCAGTGAGCGCGATAAGTAGGCTGCGAGTTACTGACGACACGGCCACGGCCACGGCCGCCTTGTCTCGCTCCTCCTCCTCCCCGCGCCGCGTTGCGCTGGTCGCTGATCGGGATGTGATGTGACACCCGGACGACGGCAGGGGCGCGCCCCGAGCGATATGGGGAAGCGATGGCCGTAACTCTCATCCCCCCGAGACGATAGCGGGGCAGGTAAGTGCTCGTGCATGGACTCGGGGCGGAGTAGCGGAGTGAAGTCCTCGAGGGGGAAGTGCTCCGGACAGCCGTCTCATCACGGCCGAGCCTAAAGGAGAGCCTCATGGGCAGCAGGCGCCAACAGCAATGCCCCAGTCAGAGT